GCCGAGTAATTCTCCCATCCCTGAGATGAGTAATGTGATTGAAGAGATAAGGGGGCAGGAACAGGAGAGGCCTTAAAGGCTTTCGTGGCAGCAGGCTTCCCAGAAGGAGTGTCAGCCAAGGCTGAGCCGAGGGATGAGTGGAGTCTGCCATTTGGGATAAAGGAGGTAACGGAAGAGGCAGGGAAGTTGTTCACTGCCATCACTGGGGCAGAACTGTTACTTAGTCAGCTGAAGGTATTGGAGGCATTTAGGAGGCAGAATTGCTGTGTTTCGGAATGGACTGAATGCATAGAGTGAGGGGAAGTGAAATACAGGGGAGGACTTGGGTTCTTGGTTTGCAAACAAATTAAATGACAAGTACTTTTTAGCCAGGAAGACTGGAGGAGCAGCTTGTGGTGGGTAGTGGGGAAGCATGTTGAGAACAGTGCCTGTGGGACCTCTGGAGGCACAGGGGTGGACTGGGATTGAGTCCAGAAGGGGTCAGAGGAGTGCTGGGTCCATTCCTCCCTGGAGTTGAGGGCAAGACCTTCCTGCTGGTAGATGGGAAGTCTCAGGCTGAAGTCTCACAGCAGTGTCTCAGGTCACACCAGGGCTGGGCCTCGTCCAGGGTAGAAAGCACATTTCTAGTTGGCACTGCCATGCCCAGCTGTGACCAACAGGTGCAGCTGAAGAGGATGTAGCTAGGATTGGGATTTTTGTAGAGAAAGCCGGTGGGGCAAGAGATGAAGCCCCAGTGCAGAAGATTCCAGCCTGGTCCTTGTCCTTGAGAGAATTCAGGTTTTCTGGGTTTTGTTTTTGGGGTTTTTTTTGGTACTGGGGATCGAACTTGGGACCTTGCGCTTGCGAGGCAGGTGCCGGAACCACTGAGCTAAATCCCCGGCCCTAGGTTTTCTGGTTTTGAGACCTCAGCCTGTTGAGCCTCAGTTTCTCACTTACTGTAGAGCGCTTGTTTTCACCTCCCAAGGGTATGGTGTTAGATCATCTGCTATGTGGTGGGCTTAGCCTGAATCACCTCCGGCTGTCAGCTTAGGGACTGGGCACTGTCAGAATTGTTCCAAAGCTGATGCCTTTGCCTGGTCCAGGCGCGGTTGACCTGCCCCTGCTGTAACACCCGCAAGAAGGATGCAGTCCTTACCAAGTGCTTCCACGTTTTCTGCTTCGAGTGTGTGCGGGGCCGCTATGAGGCCCGCCAGAGGAAGTGCCCCAAGTGCAACGCAGCCTTCGGTGCCCATGACTTCCACCGCATCTACATCAGCTGAACCTGAGACTTGGGGGGCTCTGGAACACCATAGAGCCTGGGGCTGTGGCCCTCGTCCCTCCCCATCCTAGGTGCAGTGGTTCCATCCCAGACCCTGAGGGCCCAGTCCCTGCCCATCTACTTGGTTTGGGGGCCCTGGTGCATGCTGTGGGGGTGCAATCAGTAAGGCTCGACTCCCATCTTTTCCTAAAGGTTAGCAGGAGCCTGGAGGGTACTCCTGTGGTGTTCAGAGCACTTCCAGAGCTTCCTGGAAACTGGCTCTAACCCTGCTCCTATCCCCTTGGACCCCGCCTAGCCCTGAGGGGAAAATTCCCCAGGCTGTGTCCTTCCACCCAGGAGAAGGCTTCCCACAGGCCAGCATACCCACAAGTTAGGACCAGACACGGGCCGGCCTCTGCCCCTTGCTGGCCTCTGGGCCCTTGAGAGACTTTCTTCACCCACTACCTCCCAGTCCCAGCCTGGGCAGGGCTCCTGTCCTTCCTGAGGGGACTGGACAGGAGGCTGCCACTTATTCAGGGGCCTGAAAGAGCTACCCCTTCTGAGGCACTACCCTCTTCCTCTGGGAAGCTCTGCAGTTGCTGTGGTCGCTGCTCTCTCCTTGGGAGCGCTGAATCAAGATCATCAGTTACTGTTCTACCCTGGCCCCTCCCGAGCCCAGTTACCCCCAGCCTGTGCATCCCACGGGTCCTCAGTCTCTGGCCCTCACCCTGCTTTCATGCTGGTGGCCCTAACTGCAGTGGAGGGGAAGTGTCCCACATGTAGCAGACTGGTCCCAGCCGCCGGACCAACTTCGGATCATTCCAGTAGAGCTTTGCCCAACACCCTGTGACAGCCTGTAACCAGATGCTTTCTGTGCTGCCTTCCTGGGCCAACTTCATGGGTTGTGAAGTCAGCAGCAGGGTGGCCTGGGAGGTGCAGGAACCGACTTGGACTCAGCCTCTGCTCTAGAGATGTCTTGTATAGACTGTTACGAATAAACGTGCAACCCCTGGCCTACAGCCAGAGTAGCCAGGCCTCGTGCCCTAGATACAGTACAGGTTTAGCTGCTACGCCTGTCCAGCGCTCCACTTGCTTGGTGTGCACCTGGGAGGCGGCCTGTGCTTGTATGAAAAACACTCCCGCCCACTCCGATGACTAAGTTACGCTTAAGCCCAAGAGCGGTGAGGGATCCCTTCTGGGAGGGGGGTAGGAAGGGCGTCTTCGCTGACTGAGCGCCCAGCAAGCAAGCTGATCCGTGAGCACTGCACGTCCAGGCCCGGGCTGGCCACGCCCTCGACAGCCGTTGGCCGCTGGGGCCGCGCGCTGCGGCCTGGGAAATGTAGTCCGCTCGCTTGCGGCCCCGCGAGAGCGGGCTGCGGTTGTGCTGACGGAGGTTGTGCCGGTCCTCGGAGGTTTCTCCCAGCCTTCCCCTCTGGACGCACAGTTTCGGGACGCCTCGGCCGGGTGACTTCTTTCATTGACACCTGCTTGCGCCTCGGTTCAGCCAGCGGGCGGAGCCGTTACCGCGGTGGGGCCGGGGCGGGCCGGGACCGGGCCACGGACTTGTCGGTCGCGCCCCCGCGGGTCCCCGCCTCCATCTCAGTGGCCGCGGCTCGGCGGGGACTGGCAGCCTTGTCCGCCTTCGGGCCCCGTCGAGCGCCCGGTGTTTCGGCGGGGTCGCCGCGGCTGCACCATGTTGGGCTGGAGACGGAGGCGCGGGCCCGGGCCACAACGGGGGAGGACATCGGGCCGCCGAGGAGCTGTTCGCGGACGGGGCGCGGCAGCGGCGAGGCTGGGGGAGCAGGATCGCATCACAGAGGCGCAGCCCCCTGCGCCGGGGCGATGACCCTTGTCTGAGAGGAGCTCTGTGCCCGGCGCGGGTCTCAGCCCGTCCTCCGCCAGCACGATCCTTTCTCGGGCGCCACCTGGAATGGGGTGCTTAAGTAAACGCAAGTAACTGCACGTCTCCCGCGGAGTCTTCCCTAAAGGCCAGTCTCCATCTCGGAGGGCGGGGCTCCAACCGCTTTCTCAAGTTCAAGCCTAAGCGCTTGGGGTAGAGGTCCCAGGGTCTCCGTGCGGGGAGCAAGCCTGGATTCGGCGGCGCAGACAAAAGCATCTCTCAGTAGACCGTGGCTTACCACGAACCCGCCCCTTGCCCGCAGGATCCTGTCTCAGTGGCAGTCAGGCCTCTGCCCACCTTTGGCCACTTGTAACCCCCAGGAGCTACAGGAGCCGCTGGCTATGGTACCCTGGCCAGCTCTGACCTTGGCTGACCTCTGCGGGTGAGGAGATTGCTTCAGTGAGGGACCTGCCTTTTTCACCCCGAACTAGAGCTAATGACTGGCGAGTGGGGCGTTTGGCAGGGGCCACGGCCAGGACTCCGTCGGGTCCTGCGGGGCCACACTTCCCAGTTTCTCACGTGCAGGCCCTTCTGCTGGTTCTATCCCTCTATCCCTAAACTAGACTCTCTCCTTTCTACTTTGCCACTCTCCCTTACTACGTTTATCCATGCCATGGCTATAGCGAAGCTGCTGAGACCCAATCCCAGAATCCGGACCCTGAAAATTACTTTTCATAGGGTGGGGGTCGTGTCGCGCTCAGCCCCCAATGGCACGTCTTCCCGAAGCTTCTCAAACAAGACACCCTTTCTCCAGCCTTTTTTACCTTACCTTAACCACCTCACCATCTGTGCCCCGCCCCACCCCGGCCACTCTGGGCCTCTGCACACAGGATTCCCAGTCCCTGCGGCTGCCATCCTCCAGGTCACTTCCTCTGAGTGCCCTGGCTCTGCCGTGGCAAGCACCATCACCTCCCTTGCTGTGTGTGAGCCAGACTCACCGACTTCTGCTCTCTCCCTCTAGTTCCCTGACTTTGCCAAAGACCCCTTTAGCACTGTACTGACACACCTCAGTGCTCCCAGGGCTTGAAGCCCAGGGGATGTGGAAAAACCTTCCTTCCTTTCCTCTTTATGAAAGGCAAGCACCTCCTCCCACTGCCCTGCACCCCCTGCCACTTTCTGGGCAGGGAAAGGAATGGAGAGACAGCCTGTCCTGGGGTCTGGGTCAGAGAATCACCTTCCTGCCTAGGGCCAAAGTCCCCTAGGAGGAAGACAGAGGCAGGCAACAGGCTGGCGCAAGTGCTGCCCTTGGGCAGCTGCTCAGGGACCACAGCAGGCTCAGGAAATGCAGCACTGAAGCAGGCTGGGTATCGGGGATTCCTTGGAGCTGCCCCAGATAGAGCAGAGCCCAGGCCAGGCCCAGGCAGGCCCTACCATGGGGAGAAGAGGGTGGGCAAGGGGCTGTGTTTCCCTGGGCTTTCGTCTTCCCCCAGAGTTGGAGCCAGTGGGCTGACCCCAGGAATGAGATGATCAGTCAGTGCTCCACACAGCCCAGGGGCTGGGAGGCTCAGGACCCAGAGGAAATGGGAGAGGCAGCTGCCAGTTTCTGGAACACATCCTAGGTGCTGTGGACCCTTGGGAAGGTGTGGATGATTAGCCAGAGGCCTCCTTCTGGCTCCCTGGGGCTGCACAGCTGGGCTTCAGCTGGCCCTGCCAGTTACCCATTGTGCTGGGGTCAAAGCCAGGCACTGACAAGAACTGTTTGGCTCTGCTACCAGCTCATCAGGTTGCTCCCCATCCTTGTAGGGTTTAGGTTTTAAAATTTCATAAAGCTGTCAGTTTATCCCAGGCAGGTCCTGGACATGATGGTGGGGGCCCCTGGAAAAGGGTGGGCCCTGGCTCTCAGAGAAGATAAAAACACCTGGGAAATCTTATTCCCTTTATTCTCAACTAATCAACATGACCACCAGTGACACAACACTATTATCGACACACAACACTCACAAGTGGGGCCTTTTCACACCATGGGGACAAGTCAGGTGAGCGGGCCTTACGGGGCAAAGGAGTCTGGGAGTGTTCACCTCAGGGCAGGGGTCATGGAACCCCAGCTCTTGGTTGTGATGGTTTCAAGCCCACCCCCCTTCAGGATTTATGCCCAGTTCTTCCGACTTCCCAACTGACCATAGCCGCAGCAGTTTCAAGTGTCACCCTAAGCTAAGCTCCTTTTCTTCCCTCCCCTCTGTTTCACCAGTGACTCCTCATCCCTGGCTGTCAGGCTCCTTCACCTGGGCGGGCTCTGGGCTGGTGTGGAGTAGGACGAGGTTTCGATTGTGTTATACCTTCCACGCTTGGTCCTGGTGGCCAGGTGCCTCGACCTCTGGGCCTTTGCCTGACCTGGTCAGAGGAGCTCTGAACGCTGCTCCTTGCCTGTCCCTCCCAAGATATAGCTGGCTCGTAGGGAGGCAGCTGCCTAAAGGATTTTGGGGAGGTGGGCAAGAGAACAGAGGCCACACCCAGAGGTCTCTGCCTGCCCCTTTCCCTCGCAGAAGCTGGGGCCCCACTGGTCATGCCCACCACATCCATTCAGTACCAGAGCAAGATTCAGCCTGCACCCGACCCCCACATGCGAGCACCCTACTACGTATGCTACACCCCAGTCCTCACTCTACTGACCACTCCCCCCTGAGCCCCAATGCTGCTCCCCAGCACCCTTCTGGGCGCAGATTCTCAGACTTGTATCTGAGGGAACCTGCTTCTCCTGTCGCAGGGGTTTGCCTCTACATCTTAGTTTCTGCTGCCACCTTCGAGGAGACAAATCAGCTTAGACCAGGAGGACTGATCTCCTCCTTGCCTTAAAGGGACGTGCCCTTTGCTGACATTTCTGTCACTGGAGATTCGCAGCCAGGCTCTTCCCTCTCAGTGGCACTCTCCTGGCACTTGGGTGGGTGGGGTCTAGGAGGATGTTAACCAGGCTTGCCCCACAACCATAAGTGACCTGCATTTTCCTCTCCCCAGCAGGCCTGTACATTTCTCCCTCAGTGAAATCTGAGGGCTGGTTATCCCTTTGGGGGCAGGATAGGTGAAGGGTGAAGTTTTCACCTTTTGAGCTTCCAGGCAATGGAATTCAAGGTCTGTCCCGTGGCTTTGCAGGGATCCAGGCCACCCTTCTCTCCACACACAACTCCTGAAGGGCCGCCGCACCTGGCGTCTGAGTCTTACTTCAGGGCGGTGTCGCTGGTGCTAGCATGGGCTCAAGGAGCACTTCCTTTTCTTTCCCACCCAGCTGTGAGCAGAGTCCTCTCCACCTTTCAGGGTCTCCAGGGCTAGGGGGATCCTGGTGGCAGATGATTTTCTCAAGAGTTTTCTCTCTTCAGCCATGTTAGAGTAACTTCCTCTCAGTGCACAGCCCCTCACGTGAGCAGGTCTGGCTATTTATGAAAGGTGTGCCTGTGTCGGGTGAGGAGAGGCGACAGGCCTGGCGGGAGAGGATCTCCCATCCTTCCATTTCCCCCGAAGGCTTCTGGGTAAGGAGTGGAATGTGGGATCTGTCCCTTCCCAAGGCCAAAGTCAGGCTGCTCATTCCCCCTGAGACTTCCGATATCAGGAGAGGACAGTGGCTGAGCTTCTGTGGCCTCTTCAGGGACCTGTGGCCCAGCTCACAGGGCAGGCTGAGGTCAAAAGCAGGTTGCTGGCTGATCCACACTTTCTGTCATCTCGCCATCGCCACAGAGAACGCATAGGTGGCTCTCTCAGAGAAGTCTAGGGAGGACAACCACACACAAGCCTGGAGTCTCTGAAGGGATTTATTCTTTGGAGGTTGACTAGCAGCGGTTCTCCCTCTTCACTGAGGACAAAATTTGAGGAAATGGGCTGCCACTGCAGCAAGACTGTTGGCCGTTAGATTTTAGGAAAAAACCTGACCGTAAGACCTGAGAATGTGGCAGAGGCCCCTTCTGATTCTGGAGGCCTTTGGGAGTAGACGTCTCCAGGTGGGCCGGGAAAAAGAGGGGTCCTGCCTGGTGGCCTGAGCTGGGGTCTGCTTGTGCTTGCAGTTTAACAAGCTCCCGGCAAGAGGAGAAACTGGCCTGGAGTTTGCTGGGTTCCACTGGAACAGTTTCCCGACCTTGGTCTGCTTCCTTCCAAGCAAATCTAATGGAAATCCCCCTCATTTTTGTGGTGGCTTCTCAGTATTCTTACACTCAAAAAGTATTTTAAAAAAATCCACCCCAAACTTCAGCCTTTAAAAGGTTTGACATAATTTTTTCCTTCCTCATCCTTGGGTCTTGGTGGTAATGGTTCCATGGGGCTCTTCCCTCACACACGTACAATTCTACGATTGACCTCTTGCCCAGGAACCCCCCATGCAGCAAGCTGAACTTTTGGTCTTCCCAGTCTCTTTTCTCTGTGGGTTCAAAAGTGCCTCATCACTTTTTTTCCTCCTGTTTTCTTCCTTTTCCAGTTCCACCTATTCCCACACTATTCTTCAGCTGAGACTTTCCTCAGTGTAACTGTCCATGGCTGCTGGGAGAAGCCTCCCTCCCACCCTCATGCAGAGAGGGCACTTCGGGGCAGGCGTGCTGGTGCGTTTCCCACAGCTTTCAAGGGATGCCCTCCTAATTCAAGGCCATGTTGTATTCCCTGCCCTTCCTGACCCTCTAGAAATTGATAAGGAGTTCCACAAGGATTTTGATAGTGTTATGGGGTTGCCTAGAGACTTACTGGGACCTCTTCCTACAATTAATAGAGCTTTTATCCACTATGGTTTATAGGGTTTTTCTGCTACAAACTTAAAGGGCTTTTTTTTTTTGTCCTATATATAGGGTTTCTAACCCAACAGTTTTTTCTACTGTCTTATAAGTGATTCCCATCAATAACTGTGTAGGGTTTCTCATGACTGATGTAAAAACACTGTTTTTCCCAGGGTTCATTCTCTTCCACTTTTCTACACTCTGAAAAGGTTGTCCTCCTTTTCCCACATGATTTTGGGGGGCTCCAGTGTTCCTCTCAGGAGAGAGGTCCCTGGGCTCCAGACCCTTTCACGGGGAGATGCTGGGGTGGCAGCTCCTATGGAGAAAGAAGGCTGTGATTTCTGTGAAGCTGTCTCCACACTCAGCACACAAATAGGGCTTGTCCTCTGAGAGCCTTTTGGGGCTTTCCCCTTCCCTGTGGCCGCTGCTCCCTGCTCCCTCTCCCCCACCTTTCTGGCTTGTAGACAGGGTAGCTGGCTCTGGCAGGGGGTCCTTAGATCTAGGGGACTTTTCTCGGGTGTGTGTTTCCTGGTGCCGAACCAGGGCCGGCCGGTCGGGGAAGGAGGCCCCGCAGTCGGAGCAGCTGTAGGGTCTGGCCCCCAGAGGGCTCCTGAGGTGCTCCAGAAGGGCAGAAGAGCCCTTCCCCAGCTCAGAGCCCTTCTGGGGTTTCCTGCCTGCGTGGACTTTCTGGTGCAGCAGCAGCTCAGAGCTGAGACCAAAGCTTTTCTTGCACTCGGGGCATTTAAAGGGTTTCCCACTTAGGAAGGGACTGGGCCCTGCCCCTGCCCCTGCCCCTGCCCCTTCCCCTACACCAGTCCTGTAATTGGGAAAGGGAAAAGGCTTTTCATTGCCATGGGTAAGCTGATGTTGGAGAAGCACAGCGCAATCCAGGAAGCTTTCTCCACAGTGGGAGCAAATGTAGGACTTGGACGAGGGCGGCCCTGGCCTTGGGCCAAAGCCCTCCTGACCCTCTGGCACTTTGAGGGACTGGCCTGGATGGTCAGCTTTGCCCTCCGCAGAGCCCGGATAGGAGTTCCCTCGGAAGGGGAGCCTTGTCGGCCGGAGCTGAGGCGGCTTGGTGGCCGGGCGTGGGGCGTGCGCGTCCGCGTTCCGGTAGGGGTTTTCTCCGATGTGCACCCTCTGATGCTGTATGAAGATGCCCTCGTCGTTGAAGCCCTTGCCGCAGACCAGACACTTGTGGGGTTTGGCTCCGGGCGGCGGGGTCAGCAGGGCGGAGTCCCCGCGCCCCAGCATGGAGTCCCCCTGAGCTCTTCGGGCGGGGGTCTTGCCCCGCTCGTGGACCGCCCGGTGCTGCTCCAGCTCGTGCGCCTCCAGGAAGGCCTTGCCGCAGTCGGAGCACACAAACAGGTTCTCGTCCATGTGCGTGCGCACGTGCGTGATGAGGTTGGAGCTCTGGCTGAAGCTCTTGCCGCACTCCGGGCACTTGTAGGGCTTCTCGCCGGTGTGTGTGCGGCGGTGCTGGATGAGGTGCGAGCTGCGGATGAAGCTCTTGCCGCAGTCGGAGCACTTGTAGGGCTTCTCGCCCGTGTGGATGCGCTGGTGGCGGATGAGCGTGGAGCTCATGATGAAGCTCTTGCCGCAATCGGCGCAGATGTAGGGCCGCTCGCCGCGGTGGATGCGCTGGTGGTTGATGAGGTTGGAGCTGACGCTGAAGCTCTTGCCACACTCCGGGCACTTGTAGGGCCGCTCGCCCGTGTGCGTGCGCTGGTGCCGCAGCAGGGTGGCGCTCAGGGTGAAGGTCTTGCCGCACACCGGGCACTTGAAGGGGTCCTCGCGCAGGTGCGTGCGCTGGTGCTTGATGAGCGTGGAGCTGTGGCCGAAGCTCTTGCCGCACTCGAGGCACTCGTAGGGCTTCTCGCCCGTGTGTGTGCGCTGGTGCTGGGTCAGCTCCGAGCTCTGGATGAAGCTCTTGCCGCACTCTGTGCAGCGGTAGGGCTTCTCGCCGGCGTGGATCTTCTGGTGCTTGAGGAGGTTGTGGTTCTGGCCAAAACGCTTGCCGCATTGCGGGCACTTGTAGGGCTTCTCGCCCGTGTGCGTGGCCTGGTGCTGGATGAGGTCGGAGCTGCGGTAGAAGGCGCGCCGGCACTCGCCGCACTTGTAGG